GTTTTACAGCCTGCAGCTGTCATCATTCACTCTTTAGGCTTTACTTTGCTGCAGCTGTTCTATAAAACCCACTGTAGCATAAACATCCAGCACCAAAACACACGCACGCACGCACGCACACACACACGCACGCACGCATGCACAATCAGTCCTACGCCATCAGGTCTGGAGTTTGGCCCAGGTTGTCATGAGCTGGGATTTAAAATAAAAGTTAAGATTCAAATGATCAGACTTGACTTGATTTTCTGCCCTTTTTTAATTGCAAGATAAAATTTGTCAACAACATTCCGATTTCTAACCCCCGAACTAGAAGGTCATATGCTTGGTTGAGCAGATCTCAGTACCCTTATCTCAGAGGTGTCAAAACTTGTCTAATGAGTGTTAGAGTCAACAATGAGGGCCGAAATCATCGAGGATAACCTTTCTAAACTGTCCTTGTAGGACAGAAAAAATATTGTTAAATAATAAAATATACAGTGTATGCTAAATTTACTTTATGTAGAACATTTTTCATCTGTTCTCCTCAGAATAGGACCTAAATAGGCCTATTAGTAAAATCTGAACACAGCAGTGTCTGAAAGTGTTGGTCCACATCAACAGCCTACTAAGACAAAACTCGTTATTCTAGAAATGTAACTTCAGATCAAACTATATATATATATATATATATATATATATATATATATATATATGAAATTAACAATTAAACAGTATTTCTTCAATTTTTGTAACATAAATATTAATATTTGTTATTTTATAGGATTATTTTGAATTAGAAGTCTCATCTGTTTTGTCCAGACCTGTTCCATGAGTTTGTTTTTTAATTCTGTTAAAGCTTGGTTGAAAAGTCATGTCTGACTTTCATAGATTAAATTTCATATAATTTGTATTTATTATTACTTTTATTAAATTTAAGTAATTTCTTTGACCATTGTGGGGATTTTTTTATTGACTGAGGTGTACTCACAATTTGGTTCACTTCCTGTAGACTCCTCCTGGATGCTTTGAGGCCAGAGGTGATCTGATGTGAATCGGTGACAATAATCTCTGAGGGTTTAAAGTCTGCTGGTGTTTGATGGTAAAACAGAAGAGTTTAGTCTGTTCCTGAGGGGGGCTCAAAACTTCCAGCTGTTATCCTTAGAAAACGAAGCTAAATGAGATTAAAAAAAAAGAAGAAAGGGCAAACGCTTTGGCTCCTGGAAAGGGATTAAGAGGGATTAAGAGCTCTAGATGAATATTTATTTATCAGACTCAAACTGAACTTGTGTCAAGAGTCTGGAATGAAAACACAGTTCAGTGACACTGATCTTTGTCCACATCCTGTTTGGGATCCCTCTGAGAGATTCCCACGCAGGAGATGTTTGGCACAAGTCCAGAGCAGGCATACTGTATGGCTGACCTCCATGAACTCTAAAACGATCATCCCACTACGGCTCCAACTGCAGAAGATTAATTAGGAAGTAAACTGAATATTTTGCATTCAAACAGGAACAAAATGATTCCCTAGTGGCAGCCATGTTGGGTCACTTGATGCTAAAGGTTACCTCTTGGGTCATTCTGATGAAGACCAAATAAGTGTTAAAACACTAGGATCTCACTCGCATCCATTTAAACCTTTTCTCACTTTGAGTGCTCCAGCCTTCCTCCCTATCTTTCACCTCCCGGTGTGTTTGCATCGCTGCCATGGCTGCTGTCAGAGTGGGACCACGCCTTTACAAAGTATGTTCCAGACCTGCTGTCGTTAGCTCAATGCAGCTCAGTGGGAGTCTCCTCTGCAAACATGAGATGTTTAAAAGAAGCTTGACAAGGTTCCTACACACGGAGGCTTTCGCAAAGGCTGAAGCTTTGGATTAAATGCAATAGCAAACACAAAAATTGATCTAAATTTGATGCTGAGCTAAAATTATATATATATATATATATATATATATATATATATATATATATATATATATATATATATATATATATATATGGCAAGCACCACCCCATGGGGCCAAGCAGGTCAGGGATTTTACGCAAAAATGCGTTGGTGTGAAGTAAAGCTAGCATTAAAGGGAGAAAAGAAAAAAAATGAAAGAGGGAAATCAGTGGATCCCGGGAAAGGCAGAATAAGGAGAGGGTGATGAAGATCATACCACATCCAGCCTGAACAGGTGAATCTTCAGCTGCTTTTTAAAGGAGACCACTGAGTCCACTGATCTCAGGCTCAGGGGGAGAGAGTTCCAGAGTCTGGGGGCCACAGCAGCAAATTATCTGTCACCTTTGGTCTTTAGTCTGGCGCTGCACAACCAGTAGGCTTTGATCACTGGACCTCAGGGACCTGCTGGGGGTGTAGGGACTGAGAAGATCATTGAGTGTTTACAGGTGAGACATGAAATAGTGCAAAACATCATTAAAGTTTCAGGTTTAAATGATGCTACACATTTAGGAACAAAAAGAGAAATGAAGCGTTTTCTTTGTAGCTTATTTGTTTTTAAAAATTTTCAAGATAATGTTGGAGGATAATCTGGCTATCTAGAGGAATGCAAATTAAATACAGAAAGTTATTATTATTATTATTATTATTATTTTTACAAATAATTCTGATAGAATAAACCCAGATAAAATAATAGAATCTAGGAGCTGAAGGTGAGCGGAGCTGTGTGTGTTTGGGAGGTTCTGGGTGGTGGTGGTGGTGGTGTGAGTGGTTTCTGCCGTGCAGCAGTTGTCCTCAGAGCCAGGGCTGCTGGCCGGGCAGCGAGTGGCTGCCGCTCAAACAGAGCCGGCTTTGTTAAGCGAGGGATGCTGGAGTCCTTGTGACCAGACCTGCCACTCCCTTTTTGGAGAGGGGTCTGGGGCCCCTGGGGTGACTGGAGGGGGGAGATGAGGGGAAGGATCTATAGGACTCCCCTCCTCCTCTTATTGCTCAGTGTTGTAACAGCAGAAAGGAATGACTGATCCTATGTTCTGCTCTGCGATTGGTCCAATGGGCTGTCAATCACCGATGAGGACTGATGAGTGTGTCTGGAGACTGTTTTATTGTCCCTATGTTGCCGTTAACACTTTGCAGAAGAGAACCAGCAGCAGGAGGAGCTGAGCTAACAATAATTCTCTTTAATGTGTTTTTCTACTTCTGTCACATCTCCAGACATCTCTCTGTTCCATTTTCTTTTCTCTCTTTTATTTAGAAAATATTGGAGACAATCCTGCTTCTGCTCCAAAAGTTGTTTATTTCTGTAGCTGCATCAGACTCCTAATGACAACAAAAACAACAAAAATGTTTACTAGTTACTTGTTTTGTCACATTTACCTGTGCAAACATGCTCTACTGATGGAAGTGGAAAGAAAAATCTGATAAACAAAGATGGCAGAAAGAAGGCAACACACACAGTCAGTGTATATTGTGTGTCATATTTCAGTCTGACTAGACCTTCTGCTGTGCAGGATTAAGGCCCTGTCCACACGTAGCCGGGGATCTGCCAAAACATAGATATTTTTCTACGTTTTGGCCTGTCATCCACACGAAAACGGAGTTTTTTCACACGAAAACGGATCTTTTTAAAAACTCCGGCCAAAGTGAAGTTCTGCGTTTTCTCCGTTTTGGGTGTCTGCGTGTGGACAGACACAACCGGAGTTTTAAGGTCTGCAACGTCACTTTCCGCGACAAAAAAATGCTGACATCACGTGTGCGACCTGTGTTTACACTAGCCAACAGCATGGATGCCCTCAGAGCTGCGCTCTGTTACTACCCGATCCATCAATTGTCCAAGCGCTTTCTGCTTGTTTGTTTTTGCAAGCGGAATTACTGCTCCTTGCGGAAGACCACAGACGAAGGACGAGGTTAAGAACGGGGGAAGTACTGCCGCCTACAGGTCTGGCATGTCCTTAACAACGTATTTATCCGGGTACGTGTGGACAGTTTTGTTTTAAAACGAGGTGGTGTGGATGCAAGTTTTTGGAGGGGCGGATATTCGTTTAAAAAAAAAACCTGGCTACGTGTGGACTAGGCCTAACAGTCAAATGACTCTCTTTCTAAGCTTTGTTGGTCCTGGAAGCAAACAAACAAGCATTTTTACTTACATGGACTTCCTGTCTGGACTTCCGGGCTTCTGTAGCGGCTCTTCTGTGTTTATAGCAGCTCTGTCCATTCATGTTTTATTTAAGACGGATCGATTAAATGGGTGGACATAAAGAAGATTTAGTTTGTTCTTACTTTTGTTTTAAATTGATTTCTAAATGGTGAAAAAATATCTATATGATACATTTTCTTACCTTAAATAAGCCAAATATTTTATACATTAATTTATATTCATTTCAGTGTTATAAAAGTATTTTTTCTCACATTTTATCCTTTTAAAAGTCTTGATCGTCATTAAACAGCTTAACCTTGCCATCGCCACCAGATGACACACAGTAAGCCCACACTTGTTGAAAGGTCTCTAGACATTTCCTAACAAAATGTACACACACACACACACACACACACACACACACACACACACACACACACACACACACACACTAGGGAGCGGTATATTTGGTTCTCAATACTTCAGATTAAATTCGGTTAGCAGCTCAATCTTTTTGTTTCTCATTACAAATAACGAGCACTTTACCGTTGAGTAAAACATGTAGGTTTATGTTTTTCAGTAGATCAGTGTGATTATTTGGAAAGTAAAAAAAAAATTATTTTTGTGTAGGTAAAGGTTGGAAAAGATACAATATGATATAAGTATAATTTTCATCATTGCCACAGGTTTGATAACAGAATCAAACCTAAAAAAAGTCCAAATTGCTGTTTTCCTATTAATTGGTTAAAAGTCACAGGTCAGTGCATAATGTGACATTAGTAAAGAATCTTTACAAGGAATTCTTTAATACTGCATACAAATTGTGTACTCACCCTTACAGAAGTGTATTTATATGTATCTCTAAAGTCCCCGAACTGGAAGCAGCTGATTCTCACCTGCTTCATGTTAATAAATGAACAGAGACTTATCTTCTTTATTCCTCTCCAGAGTGACCGTCTCCTGGTCAAAGGAGCGAAGATCGTGAACGATGATCAGTCCTTCTGCGCTGACATCTATATGGAGGATGGGGTCATTAAGTGAGTTTACTGGCTTCTTTTTAAGATGCTGCTTTTAGTGTGTGTGTGTGTGTGTGTGTGTGTGTGTGTGTGTGTTATCAGTTAAAAGTTTTGGAAAAAAATCTTCACAAAAACATATCAAATTGTGCTGATTGTTCAATGACGGTGTGCTCAGATTTTTAATAATGATGTTAATGAAATATCATGAAACTCATAAAAACCTTTAATAACCACATGTGAAACAACGGGATTTAGAGGAAACAGGTGAATAAACTCCCCCCTTCTGTAGCTCAGCCAGACTTTATAATATAAATATCATTCAGAGGCTGGACGGGTCACAGAAAGTAGGACTTTAAATTATGATTTAAATGGTTTTTGCATAATAGCAGTTTAAGGTTTTGGACTTTTAGAAGGTTTCACAAGGGCTTAAATGAGTAATGAGTCATTGGAGGTGACAATGGTGACCCTACACTGTTTTTAGACATTATATTATATTCTTGGTTTAAAAAAGAAAATACATTTTATCTGCAAAAGCATCCCTACTTAAAATAAGGTAAATATTCTTAATATGATCAAATTTTCTTGTTTTGAGTAAAATAATCTGCCACTGAAGTAAGCAAATGTTGTACCCATTCTAGCCAATCAACGTTTGCTAACCTCATTGGTAGATATTCTTTGCTCAAAACAAGAATATTTGATCATATTTAAGAATTATTTCAAGTACTGCTGTTTTTTTCTTTTCACACACACAAAAAATAATAAAATGTTTTAAAACTGCTTCTTTCACTTTCTTGAAAATCATGTTTTTGCAGTGTGTTTCCATAGTGATCTGGATGGTGTTTCAATGGCTGACTTTCTTCTCAGACAAATTGGGGAAAACCTCATTGTTCCCGGCGGGGTGAAAACCATCGACGCCCATGGTGGCATGCTGATGCCGGGCGGCATCGACGTGCACACACGCTTCCAGATGCCGGACCGGGGAATGACATCTGCCGATGACTTCTACCAGGGCTCTAAGGCGGCGCTGGCAGGAGGAACCACCATGATTAGTAAGGAAAGGATAAATAAGCTCTATCTTGTATTATTCAAAACACATCCAGTGCTGTGCCGAAGTCTTAAATCTCTCCTTTAGGTTTTCATCAACCATTCTTCAGACTTCAGGTCTTTTCTTTGGACTTCAGCAGCTTTTCCACTCAGTTTTAGTCTTTACTTTATTTCTCCTTTCTAATCATTGTTGAAAGTCTAAAGAGGAGCTTTGAACGACCTTCAGAAAGTCTGGAGAACCAAACATCAAGCCTGCTTTGAAAGATTTGAAAAAGTCAGTTTTGGAGTAAAACTCAAATAAATTAGTGGTGATTTAAAACCTTTGCACGTCTCTTAAAAGCTAAATGAAACAAAAACAAAGCAACCTGTCTGCGGCCCTCCCTCTGCTCACTCAGCAGTTGTAACATCCTCTCCATGGCAGCAAAACAAACTCTCCCAGCATGTTGTTGTCACCTCAGGCTGAAAGCTTCCTGCTGCAGGCCCACTCAGAAACCTAGACCGGCATCTCACAAACCAAACAGGAACTTTCAATTAAAAAGAATTTGTACACAATTTAGTGACTTCAATTCATTTAAACTTGTGCTTTAGTTACTCCAGAGCTCAAATACTTACTATAGAAGCTGGGGTTTTGTTTTAGTTCAGCTGGAATGTTTATGAAGTGCATTTGACCAACTTTAATTTGTTTTTAAAAGGTCACTGGAGACATTTGGACCATGTTTAGGTTTGCGTTAATCTGAGTTTCTGTTTCTGTAGTCGACCACGTGGTTCCCGAGCCCGGCGTCAGCCTCATCTCAGCCTTCGAACAGTGGTGCGAGTGGGCCGACAGCAAGTCCTGCTGCGACTACTCGCTGCACGTCGACATCACAGAGTGGCACAGAGGGGTCGCCGAAGAGATGGAGTCACTGGTGAAGGACCACGGTATGCCCTCCAGCTTCCTCCTCTGCTTTATGGAGGCGCAAAACGTAAAAGAATATTTAATATTCGTACAGGCATTCAAACAAAGTTTGAAAACTTTAAATGATTAATAAAAATAAATATTATAGAAAGATAAAATAAAATATGTATTTGGAGTAAAAAAAGTCAAAAGATAATTTATGGCGTTACCTATTAACATCAAGAGGAGCCAGTTGAGGTGGCTTGGGCATCTGGTCAGGATGCCTCCTCGACGCCTCCCTGGTGAGGTTTTCCGGGCACGTCCAACTGGGAGTAGGGTTGGGCAATAAATTGCAAAATTATCGTCATCGAATTTTCTGACACTTATCGGGATAATCTTTCCCATGTCAATAAATCTGAAAATGAAAAAATCAAAAGATGTGTTCAGGCTGGCAACATTCTTGTCCCTTTAAGAAGCTGTACCACCTTGAGTCACGTAAAAATGTGACTCAACGTAATACACGTGACAGCTCCATCTAGTGGACAACTTTTTTTTCTGCGCATACCTGTAGTCATTGTCCATTTATCGTTATCGAGGTGAAATCCTCAATATATCTTGATATTAATTTTAGGCCATATCACCTAGTCCTAACCGGGAGGAGACCTTAAGTGAGACCCAGGACACGTTGGATGGACTATGTCTCTCGCCTGGCCAGGGAAGGCCTTAGGATTGCCCCGGAAGAGCTGGCCCAAGTGGCTGGGGGTAGGGAAGTCTGGGCCTCTCGACTTAGTTTACTGCCCCTGCGACCTGACTCAGGATAAGCGGATGAAAATGGATGGATGGATAACATTACCTTCAATCTTCACTGATGTTTTTGTTTGAATTTAAAAAAATAATAGAGAAATATATTATTGTATTGGAGCCTAAATGCCAGCTTCTTACAGATCTAAAAGGGTTCTCATTTTTTCATGTGAGTCACACGGAGTCACTCCTGTGATTCAGGAACATTTAATAATCCCAGAGTTGTGGGAGATTTCTGGAATTCTTCTCAAGTAAGTTTCTGCACGCCAGAGAATCTCATTCTTTCGGTCACTACCCAAAGCTCGTGACCATAGGTGAGGGTTGGAACGAAGATAGATCGGTAAATGGAGAGCTTTGCCTTCTGGTTCAGCTCTGTCTTCACCGCGATAGACCAGTACAACACCCGCATCACTGCAGATGCAGCACCAATCTGCCTATCTATCTTGTGTTAGGATCTTTCCCTCACTCGTGAACCCCAAATTACTTAAACTCCTCCACTTGGGACAGGATTCCATCCCTGACATGGACAAGGCATTCTACCGTTTTCAAAGACCATGGTCTCTGATTTTGAGAAGCTGATTCTTATCCCAGCCACTTCACACTCCGCTGACAACCACCCTTTCGAACGCTGGAAATCACTGTCTGATGAAGCTAACAGGACCCAACATCTGTAAAAAGCAGAGGCAGACCCTCAGGCCACCAAAACTGATTCCCTCAACACCTTGGCTGTACCTAGAAGTCCTGTCCATAAAAGTTATGAACAGAGTCGATGATGGCAGCCTTGGCGGAGTCCAACTCTCACTGGGAACGAGCTCGACTTACTGCCGGTAATATGGACCAAGCTCCGACACCAGCCATACAGGGACCTAACAGCCCATATCAAAGGGTCGGCTGGTCTCACATACTCCCGCAGTACCCCAAAAAGTGCCCCTTCAAGGGACGCAGTCGAATGCCTTCTCCAAAACCACGAAACACATATAGATTGGTTGGGCAAACCCCTACGCACGAATCCAAGGTTTGACAATTCCATGGACCCTCCTCTTCAGGAGCCCTGAATAGACTTTACCAGGGAGGCCCAGGAGTGTGATCCCCCTGTAGTTGGAACACACCATGATGTCCCCCTATTTAAAAAGGCGGATTGAGGTCAGGAGGGGCATTCCTCCCAACCACACCCCTGAGGTCTCACTGTTGTTGCCCACATAAGCATTGAAGTCTCCCAGGTGAAAGGAGGAGTCACCGGAAGGAGCCCTCTCCAGCACTCCCCCCAGGAACACCAAAAAGGGTGGGCAGTCTGATCTGCAGTTTGGCGCATAAGCAAAAACAAGCAGTCAGGACCGTCCTCCCACACGTAGGCGGAGGGAGGCTACCTTCTCATTCATCCGGGGTAAACTCCAACGTACAGGCAACAAGGCAGGGGACAACAAGTATGCCCACCCCTGCTCAGTGCCTCTCAGTGGGAGCAACTCCATTTGTAGAAAGTCCAACCCCTCTTGAGGAAACTGCTTTCGGAGCCAGAGCCATGTGTTGAGGTGAGTCCGATGATATCTAGTCAGAACCTCTCAACCTCACACACCAACTCAGGCTCTTTCCCAACCAGAGAGGTGACATTCCATGTACCAAGAGCCAACTTCTGTAGCCGAGGATCAGACCTTTGGCTACAACCCATCTCACAATGCACCCGACCCCTTTGGCCCCTCTCACAGGTATTGAGCTCGTGGGAAGAGGGACCCACATTTCCTCTTCGGGCTGTGCCTGGCTGAGCTCCATGGGTGAAAGCCCGGCCACTAGGCGCTCGCCAACATGCCCCACCTCCAGGCCTGGCTTCAGAGGGGGGCCCCGGTGACCCACATCTGGGTGAGGGAACACTGTTTTCATTTGTATTATTCATTGTGAGAGGTCTGTGGGCTGCACTTTGTCTGATCCCTCTCCTAGGACCTGTTTGCCATGGGTGACCCTACCAGAGTTCTAAAGCCTCAGACAGCTTAGCTTCTAGGATCATTGGGACACTCAAACCCCTCCACCATGGTCAGGTGGCAGCCCAGGGAGACCCATTTTGTAGTATTTTACTGCAGCTCAATGAGCTCCATGTCTAACTGCACATAAACGTGGTTTATTTAAATCATTACATGTTTTGGTAATTCTGGGATAAAAGTATATTACAAATATTAAACATTTGACACAAAGTTACTACCTTGTTAGAGCAATGAGCATTTGTAAACATAATAACATATAATATATTAATCACTGCTTTAGAAATACCCATGATTAATAAAGAGAACCTTATTGTAAAATTACAGCATGTCACCATTTATTTATGGTCAAAAAACATTTTGGTAACCCTTTACAACAAGGCTCCCTTTATTAACATTACTAAGTGTATTATTAAGCATTAATTAACGGGATTTTTTTCATCCCCCTTTGTTTTTGTTTGAATTTGTGATTGTGTTGTGTCTATGCAAATTACTCTACTGTCTTATCTGCTATTTTGTTGTATGATCTGAGGACCTGCTCGAAAATGAATTTGATGCCACATCTCAAGCGGTTTATATCCTCATAAATAAAAGTTAAATAATTAAATATTTAAAGTATTAACAACTGCTTTACCAAATTAAGTAATGCATTACTAAGCAGACACTCTCTCCTCCCCTGGACCTCTGTCCAAACCTTAAGGACTCGTAATAGTTAACAATAATGGTGACATTAATAAAGGGACCCTTTGTTTATTAATGATTAATAATGCACATAACACACATAAAGGGACCCTTATTGTCAAGTGTTACCACATATTTAACAGCAGGACTTAGCCTTATTAATAACAGTATAAACTTTTAGTTAGCATTTTAAAAAAACACAAACAGGAATAACTAAATCTATGTGGATAATTTTTCCTATAAAGACTTTTGGCATTTTTAAATGTTTACTAAGCACAATAAAGAGTTCCATGTTTTACATAAAGTCTTCCTTTGATAGTCATGGTTATTTATAATGCTGGGATAAAATATTACTATAAAACACATGTTTACAAATGTTCTTTGTGCTTTCAAGTAGCAACAATACAGTGGACAGATTTAGCATGAAACAGGTCACTTTTGTCTCCTAAACCTTAATAAATGCATAACAAACACTTAATGGTTTACATGGTTTTAGATAAAATATTAACATAAACTATTTATCACACATTCTTAAAGAGACCTTATTGTTTGGTGGTATTATTAATTCTAATGTTGTTAATATTTTCCTGCAGGTGTGAACTCTTTCCTTGTCTATTTGGCCTATAAGGATGTTTTCCAGCTCTCTGATGCTCAGGTACAACTTCCTGTTACACTGTGTTTTCATTTTTTTTGTTTAATTTGTCATAAAAAAGCTTTTGGGACACTTTAAACACTTTGATTGACAGCTCAACCACTAGAGCACATTTTATCTTATTGAAGAATGATTCACTGGAAAAATAAAATTAACCATAAATCATGATTACATCACTTGCAATGCAAAATAATAATAACTTTTACATTCGTCTTGGGACAATAATAATAATATTATTATTATTATTATTATTATTCTGCTGCTTCCTGTTCAGATGTTGTTTTGCAGGCTGATTGTTTTCATCAGCAAAGAGTTTCACTTGACTGAATCTTACTGAAGCCTTTTTTTACAACATTGCTTTGATTAGTTCATATAGTTGTTATAGTTGTCATGTATCAGAGTGAGGAAAAAACAACAGCTATCTGTGAATGTGGATCCACCACAACAGGACGTGAATCATCACTCTGAGATAAATCGGTATTTATGGACTTTGTAGGTCAGAACTTTTTGGAATTGGTTCTCAAATCCAGAATTGTTCTACAGTCAGTTTGTCAGAAAAACATCTAATGAGGTTAATCGATTAAACTGTTAAATCTGGATTAATGGCACCAGCTCTATGGCACTGCATACTTAATAAATGTGCAAAAGGTGCAACTATAGCAAGTCCTCCCACACCATGTAGGTAATGTTTAACGTACCACAGAAGAACATTAGGGTTTGTCAGACGGACATCCTCCTCTCTTCTAATTAGTCTGCAGCTTGTGACTTCATTATGACACGTTAGCTGTTGTTTATCTACCTTTCTTCCACACGTTGCTGGTGGAGGCCTCCACAGTATCTGGGGTGGTGAGTAACGGCCATAAACGATGTGTTTGCTTTTAAGTGACGTCTTAATCTCTTGTGACAGGAAAATTCAACTGGGCAGTTGTCAATAAAACTTTTGTTTTCTTAATGCCAGCATCTGGAAGAGCTTTGATATGAGAATGCAATGTAAAAGATTTGTTCTTTGGTTCTTTTTAACTCCCATTCATGTGAGCGCTTTAGCAGTCTCAGCCCCACCCCGCTGGTCAAGATGTAACCAGTAGTGATCAAGATCCCAGCCCAGCTGTGGCCCAGGGATCACCTGTGTGTTGGAGCATGTTAGAAACAAAAATATCAAAAAACTATTACTGCAAAATAAAGTATTTGTTGGCAAAAAGCAGTTAATTATCTAATGAAATAATAACTTTTTCTGCCTTAGAGAAAGTCAAACTTTTACTGATTTCTGCTCAACGTGACTGTGAAATAAAGTCTATGCTTCAGAAAATATATTAATATACGTCACAGACTTGTAAAGTCAAGGAAAAAACACGTGTTAGTTTTTATCAAAGCTTTCAGAAGAAAATAAAAAAACATGATGAAAAGAGAATTTGCTGTGAAGAGCTGAATCTGATCTGTTTCTGTCTTTGATGCAGGTTTACGAGGTGTTCAGCGTGATCCGAGATCTGGGAGCCGTCGCTCAGGTTCACGCTGAGAACGGAGACATCGTAGCTGAGGTAGGACACAGGGAATCAGATGAAGCTCTGCTGCTTTTCCTTTTAACAACAACATGAGGTAAAACAAAATATTGGCAGGGACACAAGAAGCTTCCATGCATCATTTTCATTTTCTTCATTATGAACAGATGAGATTCATGTTTTGTGGAACCTGAACATGACTCAAAGTTTCCTCTGTGTGTGTGTGTGTGTGTGTGTGTGTGTGTGTGTGTGTGTGTGTGTGTGTGTGTGTGTGTGTGTGTGTTAGGAGCAGCGCAGGATTCTGGAGCAGGGGATCACGGGGCCTGAAGGCCACGTGTTGAGCCGTCCTGAGGAGGTGAGGCAGATCTGATTTTAGGAATCATTTCTACATGATGTGTTTGAATTTGCTCTGTTAGAAACAACTGCAGCCATGGTGTTTGACTTCTTTTGTAAATGGAAGGTTTTCAGATTAAGATTTATGACTTTGGGACATTCAGCAGCTTGGATGAGCAACGCTGGCCTGTTTAAAAATAACAAAACAACCTAAAGTCACCTGAAATTATGTAAACAGTGCATTTTTCAAAGGATGAAGCTGTTCCTTGTGTCAGAGGCTGCTCAGTCACCTATGAGGTGAGGAGGCCTGTCATGATGCTCTTTGCTCTGGTTCTGCATCTGCTGGTTTGAACAGCCTGTACTGAAGGGAAGCAGCTCTTTTTGAGCTTTTACTCTTGAGCTCAGTAGTTCTCATAAGAACTAAAAAGTTTCACTCGAGCTTTACCTTAGCAGTCAAGATTTAGTGCTGGCTTGCTGGGAAGCCGCTGCTGTTTTCGCGTCTCCATGGAAAATATTTACATTTACTAAACTAATGTGATTTTGCATCCGGGCATCTGTTATAAGAATACAATCTTACTCAGAGTCCAGAGGGAGGAAACAGAAAGTTGTGTTAATGTTCCAGTCATTAAAACCGTGATTGTAATTAATGATGTTATTTCATTACAATTTGTTCAAAAGGGGAAGAGAACCATCTGGGAACAAGCTTCAGAAGATGGGTCTGAGCCAAAGATGAAGGAACTAAAAAGCCTTTTCCACTCAGAACTAAATATTTCTTATAAAATTCTGTATCTGTTGTAGCTAAGGAGGGAAAACCCTATCTCTACCTATTTTACTTGCAGCGCTGATTTGTGCAAAAACTTTTGTTTTCGTTTGTGCTGGTGTTGGTTTTGCTAAGCTAATTGCTGGCAGTTATGTGCAGTGTGTGTGTGTGTGTGTGTGTTTGTGGGGGGGGGGGGGGGGGGGGGCATTTTATATGGAAGAATAAAGGTGACTTCATCAGTTCCATTGCCACATCTTCAAATAAACCTTTACTGTCCTGCAGGTGGAGGCGGAGGCTGTTAACCGTGCCGTGACTGTGGCCAATCAGACGAACTGCCCGCTCTACGTCACCAAGGTGATGAGTAAGAGTGCTGCTGATGTCATCGCCCAGGCGAGGAAGAAGGGTGAGGAGCCAAAACTGATACTTTGAAAAACAATCAGTTGAACAAGGAGCTGAAAGCTTTGGCAAATGTCGACTAGAAGGTGCACGTTTTCATGAGTCTACTTTTCTAGTTTGTGGATTTTGAGCCGTAGAAGGTTGTCACATGTTTGCCTGGGTTCCAACCTTCAACGATGGTTGTAAGAGTTAGATCCCGACTGAAAGGCGGCTCCTCCTCATCAAAAGGAGCTAATGGAGGCGGTTTGAGCCTCCTGGTTGCCTCCCTCTGGAGGTTTTCTGGTTATTTTCTACTGGAGGTGGAGAGGGTCACTGAGGAGAACGATATCTGTCCTCCCCACCTGAACCTGTAACCTCCACACCCTATCTGTGGATAAGTGGAAAACCACTAATGAGTGGGAGACAGCTGGAATACCCTGAGAAAACCTGTGCATCTGCATTTTTTTGTTGCAGAAAGACATTTACAGGTGTCTTTACTTAGTCCTATTATTTGTTCCTCTGAACATTTCAAATCTTAATATTTTATAGTATCTAATGTTCTGTTGGACTTTCAGGTACCGTGGTCTACGGAGAGCCCACCACTGCTAGCCTGGGAACAGACGGGTCCCACTACTGGAGCAAGAACTGGGCCAAGGCTGCAGCCTATGTCACCTCCCCTCCCCTCAGCCCTGACCCGACCACACCGGACTATCTCAACTCGCTGCTGTCCTGGTAAAGCTTTGATCCAAACCCTCATGTTAGGAAAACTTTGTCTGAGAGAAAACACTCAAAACAAAGTCCTCTCCACCATCTTTACAGTGGTGACCTGCAGGTGACAGGAAGTGCACACTGTCCCTTTAACACAGCTCAGCGCGCCGTGGGGAAAGACGACTTCACCTTGATCCCTGAGGGGGTCAACGGCACCGAGGAGAGGATGTCCATCATCTGGGACAAGTCTGTGGTACATGTTCACACAGACCGTAAGATAAGTCCAATTATCTGATTCAAGGTCAGCGATCCCAACACACAGTTCTGATTTACTCCAGGTGACGGGTAAGATGGATGAAAACCAGTTTGTGGCTGTGACCAGCACCAACGCCGCCAAGATCTTCAACCTGTACCCCCGCAAGGGGCGCATCGCCGTGGGGTCCGATGCAGATCTGGTGCTGTGGGACCCAGACGTCACCAAGATCATCTCCGCCAAGAGCCACAACTCGGTACAGCCTCCTGTGACTCGAGTGTTAGGCTTAGAGGAGACTCTTGCACAGGGCGTTGGTCTCACACAGCATCCAGGGAGTGATGTCATTCATAAAATCTGCCAGAGCTCAAACACATCATTGTCTGATTGTTAGCAGACCAATCGCTGTGTCTGTGTTCGCTCTGGGAATGTGTTCACTTAGTCCTGTTCTTTGGTTTCTTCTCATTTCATGGAGGAAATTGCTCGCTGCCAGTGTGTGTGTGTGTGTGTGTGTGTGTGTGTGTGTGTGTGTGTGTGTGTGTGTGTGTGTGTGTGTGTGTGTGTGTGTGTGTGTGTGTGTGTGTGTGTGTGTGTGTGTGTGTGTGTGTGTGTGTGTGTGTGTGTGTGTGTGTGTGTGTGTGTGTGTGAGAGGGAGAGAGTTATGGGATAGCCTTGTCTGCTGGTGATCTCATGTTGGGCTGTGGAGTTTGCCAGATTGCCATGACCTCAGCTTTAACTCCAGTAGCTTTTAGAAAGAGCAATTATAAGGCCTCCAAAAACACCCAAACCCCTCTGAAGACTAATCTTCTTCATCCTCTTCATCTGTTAGCATTTGGCCAAAGGGAACACTGTAAAATACATCAGCTCTGTACAATTTTTACACTTGTTTCTGCTGCTTTTTCTACATGTTTCAGTCCAACAATGTTCCACTGCTGTTTGGCAGATAATGCATGAGGGAGAGATTCATAAATCTTATTTGGGGGGTGGGGGTGGGGGTGGGGGGGGGGAGAATGTGCATGGCCTTACATCATCCTGATGATAGAGGAAAATCTGTCTGGAGGATGTGAATCACCAGATCTCTGCTTTGAAGTTGTTTCTGTTCTGATCTGTTATGGTTTCGAGCATGCTGACTCTGAGGAGGCAGTAATAAAACATCACAGGAGTACGTCTGCCAGACAGGAACTTTAATTCTAAAAATCAGCATTGAAAAACCATTTTTACACTGGTGTTGGTTTGGTTAGGGCAGCACTGTAACATCACCGCTCTTGTTCTGCCCTCAGACTGTGGAGTACAACATCTTTGAGGGCTTGGAGGTGCGCGGCGGTCCCCTGGTGGTCATCAGCCAGGGGAAGATCGTCTTGGAGGAAGGAAACCTCCACGTCACCGAGGGTTCGGGTCGGTTTGTGGCCCGCAAACCTTTCCCTGACTACGTCTACAAGAGGATAAAAGCTCGCAGCAGGGTGCAGTAACTAGTTTCCTCTGCTTTGATGCTCTCTCTTCAGATTGCTACTGCTGAATGTCAAAGTGTGTTAAACTGGATTCAGGCGGTTGGACTTTTAGACTTAAAAACGCCACAACTTACATTTTAAAATTGGTTTGACTTTAAATCGTCTCACAAAACAGCTTCTAACAGGCTGTATAAAACTTAAAGTGACAGTTGAAATCCCACCTGTTTTAGGTTAGGATTGGTTTTCAGCTAACAGCTGGTCTGAACACAGCTAATACAAAGTGGATTACTGTCACCCTAGAACAACTCCACTCGTGGTTTTTCTGGCAAAAATATTCAGGGTTTCTAGCTTAGCAGCTTTGTTGCAACACTCACTGAGTTGATTTGACCTGTGTAAATCACACGTGAAACTCTAAATGGTGGAAAAGTCCATTTATTTCAGTAATTCACCTTAGACTGAGAAACCATCTAAAGGCTCAGGAACCCTTTAAAGTGTTCTGGATTCATTAGTTGATTAGAGTGTGACACTTTGAGTCTACTGAACTTTTTCACAATATTGTAATTGTCTAATATTCAGAATGTGGGGTTTTCACCAGCTGTAAGCCATGATCACCACAATTATAACAAATAAAGACTTGGAATATCAGGATTTGCATAGAATGAGTGATATGTTAATTTCACTTTTTAAGTTGGATTATTGACATAAAAGAACTTTTGCACCATATTCTAATTTTTTGAGTTTCACCTGTATACCAATGTCTTTTCGAGTCGGGTTTGCAGGTCCCAAGTCCTGATAAAGTTTAATTAAAATTGTGACACACAAAATAAACGAAGGAAAAAAAAATTAGGAGAAACATTTCCTTTTGTAGTTCTTAACTTACTTAGCAATTTGTACTCACGTTTTGTGTCTCCTATGACATTATTCCATTATTGTATACTACAGCATCCATTACCATTAGATACACAACGAATAATGCAAATTAGTTTATGGTGTCATTTACTGACTTCTAGTCACTTTTAGGATAGAAAGTAGCAACGTTCTTTACTGAGACATTAGCAGCACTAATAGCCTGTTATGCTAGTCATGTCAGATGTCCTTCTGTTAGCTGTTGCTTTACAAAAATTACATTTAAACCTTTGTCAGAGACCTGCCTAATGAACTAATTTAGTATATATATATATATATATATATATATATATATATATATATATATATCATAGTTATTTGCATCGGCTAGCAGTAACACTTCCAGTGAGCACTGCTGATGTAAATATTAGGCTATTTCTGCTGGAATAAGGAAACAAAAAGGATGCAGAGGTTTTTACCGTGTGTTTTATGTCCCATGATGCAGATGGCTGAGCTAAGGGGCGTGCCCAGGGGTCTGTACGACGGCCCGGTCTGTGAGGTATCCATCACTCCTAAAGTCATGACTCCTGTCTCCTCCGCCAAGACGTCTCCTGCCAAACAACCCAACCAGCCTGTCCGCAACCTGCACCAGTCTGGGTTCAGTCTGTCCGGTCAGCCCCAGAACCATACTTCTGTTATCCATAATCAATATCAGTGTTTGTTTACCTTCTCCCTGTTGTCAGGAGAAACTAAAGTGGTTTCTGTCCCTCATGATGTAGTCACTCATCTGGCAGTTCTAGTTAGAAGTTAATCAAATTAGGATTTTTGTACAAAACATGGAGAACATTCATAAATGAATGAACGTTATATCAAAGCAAAGACATTTCTGCTTTTTAAAGACAATATATTTATATTACATAGAAAGCCAGTTACTTTGGGCTTCTAGTCAGTTTCCAGAGTCATTACTGGTGTCTGGAATCTGCCAGGAAACTGTTCCAGTTTAGCCTCCGTGAGTCAGAAAGTAAGAGACGAATCTGGGAGGAGTTGGAGAGCCGTGAAGCTAAGGTTTGACTGACTGGAGAAAGAAAATCTGATATTTTCAGCAGGAAACACTTTTGAATAAAATTGTAAGGAATTTCAAACAAAGTGAGACACATTTAAGACATTTTGGTGATTAAAGAGAAACAAGAAGGGCTTCAGTTTAGATGCTGAAACATCTATGTCAGTTTAACATGATTCAGATCTAATTATGTTTTAGCTCAGTTCAGGAAAACAAATGCTTCGTGTCAAAATTTTTATAGAAAAACATCTAAAAATGATGTTTTACATGAGACGTTTCCCTGATTTGGACTCATTTTATTTAGTTTCTTCTATAAAGCATTTTTCAGGAACAATCTGTTTTACAACCAGAGTTCATCATTTGTCTGTAATAAAACATCTTTTTTTATTTAGTGGTCTGTTAGTTAGGATGTAAAACAGCTTGTAAATGATTTTACTGCAGTAGTTGGTAACATGAGACAGGAAGTCAGATTTAAAGGGTCAAAAGTAGCTTAAAGGAGAGCCCAGAGTGAGCAGCAGTGTTTAAAGTCACCTCTTGTTTCCTTTTGGTCTCACAGGAGCTCAGGTTGACGACAACGTTCCTCGCAGGAACACCCAGCGCATCGTGGCGCCTCCGGGCGGCCGGGCCAACATCACCAGCCTGGGTTAGAGTGTGTCCCCCCTCACCCCCCCACCCCTTATTGGACACAGAAGAAAAAACGAGAAAAAAGTCTGCCTCATGATGGGAAAAAAGAGAAAAAACACTGCTTAGTTGAGCACTTTGACTACATTATTTAGATTTTTTATACTGTTTTTGCCATTTGATTTTTCTTTGCTGATGTTCTTCAAGGTTCTGGCGAAACTAATCTTAGTTAAAGTAGTTTATGGAGGATATTGACTGACGATTGCTTTCATTTAGTTTGTAGCTGAAATGGAGAAAAAGGTACAAACTGGCTCCTGATGTGCTTTTTGTTTTTTATGTTGAATAAATCAGAAGTAAAGTTGCTTTTTAAGAGTTTTGCAGTCGAGTGGAGAATCTCCATAGCTGCAAACGTCCTGCTGTTTGTTCTACGTTGCATTTTATTCACTTTTTTAATTGAATATTTGAACTCCGAGGGCTGCCTTAAGTGAGTTTTTTATTTAAATGTTTAACAGGTGTGAAAGTTGAGGGTCAGTTGGAGGGCAGGTAGGGGTCTTCGGCACACACACACACACACACACACACACACACACACACACACACACACACACACACACACACACACACACACACACACAGTTTTTTTTTGTCTGTTTTACGTCATAATTAAGTAGCAGCATTAACTGTGGAAGTTTGTGATCGTTCATGACGGTCAAAGTCTTAATTTTGTTGCCTTATTGTCTCATTTTTTCATTTCTAGAGCAGGGAAGGTACCAATCATATCCCAGCTGCTCGTTTAACACACTCCTGTTTCACAAAGGTCCACATTTCTTCAAATCCATCCATTAGCGCACAGAATGTTAAAATGACCATCTCTATTTGTTATGTGCCTGAAGCCACAGAAGCTGTACCGATAGTCTGAATCTCTTTCTGTTCTTTTGGAGGTGAGTGAAGGATGTAAGATAAAAGATGTAAAATAGCCAGGAATAACCGATTCAAAGGTGCCAGATGTTTCTGCTTTCAACGAGGCGATGGAGCCTCCCGTACAGACGGATAAAAAAAATTAATAAGCAGCTTGATATCTTGAAATGTACTTTTAGAGTTTTTATCCTTGTTGTCAGATTGCTTTCTAGTGTTATTCTGTAACTAGGTGCCTAAAGGCTGAGCACTATTGATTTCTGCTTGGAAGTAGACCAGAGCTGGTGTATTCTGTGTGCAGTGTTGATGTGAGAGGGATGGAGCCGCAGCTCAACCGCTGTTCAAGAGTCTTCTTAAATTTACTTCTCATTAAACAGATTTGCTGGGTTCCCACTTATGTTAACTTTATATTTTTCCTCAACAAGATGCAACAGCTTCCTCCTGCAGCCATACTTTATCACAGCTAGCTTTAAATTCACTTCAGCTTCTCTTCGAACACCAAAGTTGCCGTTTTGCTTTTGTGTGCATCTAAAGTTGGAATCTTTCACAAATGTGCACGCAGACGTGAAGCAAAACCAGTATTTTGGTGCTTCGCGCCCCCCCCCCCCCCCCCCCCCCACACACACACACACACACAAGCTCGCTCTGGGATAGGGCTGTTAGAAGGGAGAGAGTGGTATAATCACTTTAGCATCAGATAATCTCTAAGCTCCCTGAACTGTTTTACAGTTGTAACTGAGGGGGGTGTTAGGGGGTCGGGTTCCACCGTGGCTAACAATGTTTGGCAGCAACCCCTTCTCTCCCACCCCTTAATGCTTCTTTCCTTGTTTCTGACTGTTGCCATGGTGACCAACATCTCCACTCTAGCAGCATTTTGCTTTCTTTTCTTTTTTTTTGTTTTTCTTTGTCATGCCAACGCTTGTTGGAACCCAAGTTGCCACCGGCAACCGCCGCCCAGACTCGGTGCTGTTGTTGCAGAAATATTTTGGACATCTTTTTCTAATTATTGTGTCTCTGCAGCAGCATCCTTGTGGAACATCAGAACCAAACCTGCGTCCTGTTACTTCCGAGTACACACACACACATACACACACCGCTCTTGTCAGCTTGAATGCTTTTTCTACACCATAATATGCTAATATTGATGTAAGAGTGACATGTATGTAAACAACTTGCAGACTGGCAGGTTCTTCCTCCTGCTCTGAGGTTGTTGATGCTGTTGAAACCCCCACCCCCCTTGCCTCTGTAAGCTTTATCACCCCCCCCCCCTGTGAAAGTGAACCAGTGTGGTGGTGTTTGTCTCGCTGGCTGTGGGGTTTCTGGGATGCTTGCTTGTTATGATAAACCTGTAAGATTTCATGGATGGTGATGTAAAAAATTGAAAGAAGCAACAAGGATTTGAAATAATAAAAAAACAAAACAAGAAAAAACTGAATTAAATCAGTTTCTTTTGTTTCTGTATGATGCAAGAAAGTGAGCTACCTCTGGTGAGTTAGAGGTGGTCCTGCCACAATAAAACCTCCACAACGAACAAAGACTCTGGTGAGTTCTTGTTTTATTTGTCGTGATTGCTTTTGCATCAAGACTATACCACGCTTCAGTCAGACACAATTACTGACTTTTGTCTCTGAAGCAAGAAAAAAAACACGATAATGAGAATTATAATTGAATAATTAAATTACACACTAAGAAAGTAAAAACAATGGAAATGTTCTTTTTTGCATTTTACAACAAAAGTTTAAATATATTGTAAGGCAACAATATTCTAAAAACAATGTGTTTTATTCAAACACCTCCATAGTTTGGTTTTAAGATTTCCCCCAATTGCCTTCAGTCAATACAGGAATTAAAATATCTGTCTGACCCAGTGGTGTCTAAACTTGGTCCTCGAGGGCTACCATTCAGGTCACAAAACTCTCCAGAAGCTTGCTAATCAACTGCTAATGAAAACCAGGTGTGCTGAAGCAGAGAAACCTCTGAAACATGAAGAATGGTGGCCTTTGAGAACCAGGGGTCTTATTTATCAAACATTGCATAGAATCCTTACTAAAACCGTACTCAAGCTCAGCAAAAAAAAAAAAAAAGTACTTACGCCAAGTAGGTTTGTGATCTATCAAACATGGAGTACGCACAGCTGCACGCAATCTCTGCTTCATAAATCGGAAACTATCTACAAATAGTCTCAGCTGCTTTTTAGGCCTAGTCCACACGTAGCCGTTTTTTTTTTAAAAAAACGAATATCCGCCCCTCCAAAAACTTGCATCCACATCACCTCGTTTAAACAAAACTCTGTCCACACGTACCCGGATAAATACGTTGTTAAGGACATGCCAGACCTGTAGGCGGCAGTACTTCCCCCGTTCTTAACCTCGTCCTTCGTCTGTGGTCTTCCGCAAGGAGCAGTAATTCCGCTTGCAAAAACAAACAAGCAAAAAGCGCTTGGACAATTGATAAAGCGAGCGCAGCTCTGAGGGCTTCCATGATGCCGGCTAGTGTAAACACAGGTCACACACGTGATGCCAGCATTTTTTTTGTCGCGGAAAGTGACGTTGCGGACCTTAAAACTCCGTTTTTGTCTGTCCACATGCAGACACCCAAAACAGAGAAAACGCAGATCTTCACTTGGCCGGAGTTTTAAAAAAGATCCGTTTTCGTGTGGATGACAGGCCAAAACGTAGAAAAATATCTAGTTTTGGCAGATCCCCGGCTACGTGTGGACAAGGCCTTAGTCACATCCCGCCCTCACCACGCCCACTTACTGCCATAAATAGTCAATGCAAAGTGCCTTTTGGATCTCATGCATATACATAAGCCGGCCTGTTGCAGCGCTCCGCCAATGACAAGGGCGACCGTAGATCAAGGAGGCGCAATTTCACAAGCAGAAGTTGAGGTGGAGAAATGAAAGGAAGTGCTTTTGCAAAACAAATAAGAGAAAATCCACGGAGCAGCACAGCGTTGCTGAAGCCGTCAAGAAGAAGAAGAAAATATCATTTCTATAGCGCCTCTCAAGATAAAAATCACGAGGTGCTTAATGGTGAGTTCTTCAGATAGATCTGTGGCGGAAATAAAAAAATGATCCAAACAGGAGTTGATCCTAGGCAGATTGATTGATTGAGGCAGAATGTCATGCGTTTGTGTGTCCTGTCACTCTGAC